TTGGCCTGGCTCCAGGCTGCCTGAGCTGCACCGCGTGACGACGCTGCCCCGGCGCTGGGGGGCGCAGGAGCACTTCTTGGTCTTTGGCATTATCTGGTGATCAGAAAGCATTGTGCCAGTGCAATAGGTGCTGGGCACACCCCAAATTCCATCTCCGTAAAGGCTCACAAAGCCGTAGGAAGGAGATTGGAACTTTCCCATGTACAGGGTAGACAGCTGAGGATGCTTTAGAGAGTAATAAAATGCCTTACATCACCCCAGGTTTCAGCTTTCTCAAGTACCTAGCCCAGCAGATGGCCTGTCCTTGCCAATGTTACAGTACTATTGGGAGTATCAAGTGAATGAATATTGAAAACCCCTAATTTATTTTAAAATATTACAGAAAGCCAAGAAAGAATTGTTTCAAGATTAGAGTGAAAGCATGGTGGGCTCTGCCTAGGCTGGCAGAAAATAACAACAACAACACACACACACACACACACACACACACACACACACACACACACACAAAAAAAAAAAAAAAAAAAACCAGTCTGGCTTATCCCTCCCACTGCTCACTCCTACAAGTAGATGCTCCAAGAACCCTCTCTTCTACCTGGCCCCAAAAGGAACCAACAACCCTGAGAAAAGCCAGGACTGAGGCCATCGAGTGGGAGGTCAGCTGCCACACTGAGGCCACGCGCCTATGATGGCACTGTGTGATCCGGGATGGAAACGAGGAGATGGGAGGCTGAGCCTTCTGTGTTGAACCGAGACTGCTGAAGAGCTCTGAAGAGGTCACAAGTCCCCCGTGCTGTGTGTTATGGCTTGTATCTAAAACAGTGAAAATCCTTCTGGAGAACGTGCTCTCAAGGATTCAAGCCAATACAGGTGCACAATTAAAAAAAAAAAATCACTGAGTAGGCCACTCATGATTGACAGCAGAATTAATGACCAACTGATTTAGACCCCCAAGGACGCATTTCTTAAAAGACTTTTGACAAATTGAATCTAACATAGTTTATTTGAGCAAAGAAATCTTCACGAATCAGGCTGCGCTTAAGGAGTACAGAGGGAGAGGAAGCAGAAAGTGCTTTTTGAAAGTCTGGGCTGGAACCTGGAACAGCTTCACTTCCATCCTACTCCAGTGGTCCAAGTGGTCACAGGCAGCCCACATTCAGAGGACTGGGAAAAATGCCCCACTTCTCAGGGGACAAACGTCCAGGTTGAGGCTATTTTTAATGTACCACACCATAGATATTTATTTCCCGTTTTCTTCATAATATACTTTATAGCAACTTTTTCCCCATCCAACACACAAAGGCTGAATTGTGCTTCTTCTATTTATATGCTGAAGCCATAGCTCCCATATCTCATAATGTGACTATATTCATTGACCTGGCCTTGAAAAAGTTAATTAATATAAAATAAGGTCATAAATGTAGGTTCTATTCAAATATGACTGATATTTTCATAAGAGAGAAAAAAACAGGATGGCCATATAAGAACATAACAAGGAAGTGGCTGCCTGCAAGACAAAGAGCGAAGCCTTAGGAAACTAAGCCTGTTGACACCTTCGGTTTGAACTCCCAACCTCCAGAATTGTCAGAAATAAATTTTGGCATTTAAGCCACATAATGATTGCTGCTTTGTTTGACTGTAGCTGATACAGTCTGCTTTATTCTAAAAGTTTGTCATCTTTCCTCTTTTTTCATGACACCAACATTTGTGAAGAGTACAAGTCAGTTATTTCATAGTGTTTCAATTTGGATTTGTCTGATTGCTTCCCATAATTAAATTCCAATTGTGCTTTTTCTTGGATAATTTGATAAAGACAATATTATACTTTACAGCATCACTACACATGTGTATTAGTTACTCTTTTTTTCTTCTGGTACCAGGGATGGAACTTAAGACCTTGCATTTGCAAGGTAGGCACGGTGCCACTGAGCTAAATTCCCAGCCCTTAGTTACTCTTCTCAGTGCTAAGACACAATAACCAACACCCACAACTTCAAGGAGGAGAGGTTTATTTTGACTCACATTTTCAGTCCATGGTCAACTGGCTCCAAGGCAGAAATGGCATGATGGGAGAGAAGGGCCTGGCCAAGGAAAGCTGCTCACATCATGGCATCCAGGAAGCAAAGAGAGGAGAAACTGGGGAGAAAAGAGGGATACCTCCTGCTTAGAGCTCAATCACCTCATATACCCTTCTAGGTTATGCCCCCAGTGACCAGCTATACCAACCCCCATAATCTAATCATCTTCCAAATACATGAGGACTTGAGGGCTGTTATGGCTTATATCTAGATGTCTCCTCAAAGCCTCATATGGTCATAGGTGGGCTTTCTGGAGGTGGCTGGATCTAGATCTAGAGTGTGTGATGCTAGAACTAAGGATGTTGTGCTGGAATTGATTCATTGTATAATGCTAGGATTAAGGGTACCCCAGGGCGGAAGCCTGAACAGAATACAAGGAACCGAAAGAGGGCTGCTGTTGTTGCTTGCTTTTTCACTACTTTGCTGATTTACTGCCTTCTTCCTGCCATGAGCTGCTTCTCTTCTGTGATACCCCTCTGCCATGCTACTATGTCTTGGGACCTGGAACTTCTACAAACTGTGAGCTACAATGAACCTTTCCTCTTTTAACTTTGGGTGGCAGGTACTTAAGACAAGGGCCATCTAGATCTAACATTCTGCCCTGGCCCCCAGAAGACTCACTCACATTCATCTCTTTATGCAAAATATACTTGGTCTATCTCTAAGAATCACTAAAGTTTTAACAGTTCCAGCATTGCTGAAAGGTCTAAGTTCAAAGTCTCCTCTGAGGCCCAAGGCAAACTCTTAATTGTGAGCCCCTATACAAATCAAAAAGAAAGTTAAACACTGCTGACATACAATGGCATAACGTAAACACTCCTGTTTTAAAGAGAGAAATAACAAGGTACGAAAGAATGGGACCAAAGCAAGATAGAAACTCAGCAGGGTAAACATTAAATCCTATACCTCTATGTCCAGAAATTAGGGCATTGTTGTGGAGAGATGCGAACTCCAAGTGGCTTAGGCAGTCCTGTCCCTCTGTATTGCCAGTTGCAACCCTTGCAGCCTCTCTCATAGGGTGATTTTGCTCACTGCCTATAATTTTCTTCAATCTGTTCACATTCCTGACTTCTCCAACTACCTGGTGTCTCTACTGCACTTTTGGCTTCAGTCACAACTTCATGCACTGCCCTCTCAGGGGCACACTGACTCATATCCCAAGCCTTCTTCTGAAATCTGGGTAGCAGCCTCCATGATCCAGTAACTCTTGTATTCTGCGTGACTGTAAACCAGCACGATGTGGATGACAACATCTGCCCCCAGATCAAGCTGGCCACAACCACTGCATCATTGCTACAGAGACCTCTGAGTGGGTGAGCACTGCACACTGGGCAATCGATTCCTTAGGTGATCCTTATGGAGCAAAGTGTCCTGGGATTCTCTTCTCAAATGAAAGCTTTACAGCTTTGTATCCTCAAGCCATCACTGAGGGTGGGATCTTTGGGGTTTCTAAGCTATGCTCCAGTCATCTTTCCTATTGTCCTGACACAAAGTAGTTGACTTCTTTTTTGTTGTTGTTGTTGTTATTGTTGTGCTAAGTTTTTTTTTTTCTCTCTCTCACTGAGTTTATTGGTACATTTTAGGGATACAGCACAGTTACATTCATTGTTGGGAACTTGTACCTTTACATGACAGGTCTTGATTCTCATTTTTTCCCCTCATCCCTGCCCTCCCTTCACCCCCCTCCCCTCCCCATTTACAAACACTTTATTTCCATTTTTTCATATTTTTTCTTTTCCCTTATTACCTTTCCCCTACCTTTCCCACTTTCCCTATACCTTTAGCCCTTTTCTTCCTATTTCACATTGTCAATTATTGCATTAGGATCTTATGTACTATTATAGTTTATTCACACCAGAGAAACTATTTGGTATTTACACATGTGTGACTTATTTATTTCACTTAGGAGTATATCCTCAATATGTATCCATTTTCCTATGAATGAATCTAATTTCTCATTCTTTATGGCTGAGTAGTATTCCATTTTATAGAAGAACCACATCTTGTTTATCTGGTTTCCAACTGATGGGCAAATGAGCCGTTTCCAAGTTTTAGCTATTACAAACTGTGCCACTATAAACATGGGTGCACATATATCACTGTGGTATGATTCTTTTAATTCTTTTGGAAAGATACCCAGCAGAGGGATGGCTGGGTCAAATGGAACCTCTAGTCCCAGCTCTTTGTGGTATCTCCATATTGATTTCCATAGTGTTTACAACAGTCTGCACTCCCACCAACAATGGAGAAGGGTTCCTTTCTCCCCACAACCCCACCAACATTTGTTATTGTGTGATTTCTTGATAGCAGCCATTTTTTGTGGGGTGAGGTGGAATCTCAGTGTTATTTTCTTCTGCATCTCTCGAATGACCAGGGATGTCGAACATTTTTTCATATATTTACTTGCTGATTTTACTTCTTTGAGAATTGTCTGTTGGCTTCTTTTTAATGCTAATGTTTTTAAATGTTAATGTTTTCTGGCAATCAACCTGTCCTGGGCCAAGACTCTACAGACCCTGACTTTATAGCTCTTTTCTGGTCATCAGCAAAATTTTTCAAATTATCCCACTCTCCTTCTTGATCCTGCTTCTCACAATAGGTATAGCTAAAAGCTGCCAGCCATATCCATGTCACAGCCTCAGCATTGGGCTGGCTTGAAA